CTAGTACAATAATAAGTGATAATCAAATACCACAAAGTTCACAATTAAAAGTCCATGTAATACACACCCCAAATCACAGAATTTCCCGCTTATATATAGTCAAGCAATCTATGTAATGAGAGTTAAGAACGGATATGAGAATAATAAGAATGAGAATGATATGAGTAAAATACAATAGTTATATTCTTCTTCTTCTACAATTCTCCTCTAAATTTATTGTTGTGTAGATTTTTTTATTTCTAACACTTTTTACATTATCCTATTTTCTATGCTTATATAGATGATGAACGCCTCTCGTATTTGAGTAAGGGTCGTAATCGTTATCAGATTAACAACTTTATATTCTTATGTATGGTTGATTGATTTGATTTTTATATTCTTTTTTATATATTATTTTGTGTCTTACTAATACGTATTAAAGATCGTCAAATTCCTAACAATATGTGTGCGTTACCCATATTTTTGTGTTTTGCTTGTCTCCAGTATACTCCTTTTTATATATTATTTTGTCTTACTAATACTTATTAAAGATTGTCAAATTCGTAACATGTGTGCGCTGCCCATGCCCATGTTTTCGGTGTTTTGCTTGTCTTCATTTCGGTGGGTTTTGCTGTTGTTTTGTTGATTTGTGTTGGCTTGGCTTGGATTGGCAAATTCCTAACAATGTGAGCGTTGCCTACGTTTTTGGTGTTTCGCTTGTCTTCATTTAGGTGGGTTTTGTTGTTGTTTTGTTGATTTGTCTTGGCTTGGCTTGGCCTGGCCTGAGATTTGGTGTTGATTTGTCTTTGTTGATTTAGGTGTTTCGCTTGGCTTGGCCTGGCCTGAGATTTGGTTTTGTTTTTGTTTAGAAAAAGGCAAAATTACATTGACACGCCCTGCGATTTATATTTATTACAATTCTCTTACTTTTTGAAAATTACATCCCTTTCTTTAAGATTTAAAGTTTCATTACAGATTGCTCCCTCAGTTAGTTGACTGTTAAGTCAACTAATAGATTTTGCTGATGCCAGCAATATAATTTTTTTAAATACCAAATTTTCCCTCACTAGGTAAATTACATTGACACCCCTCACATTTTAGAAATTATAATCCCCTCCCGAAGGTTTAAAGTAGCATTACCAATTAGTCCTTCGGTTAGTATAAGTTGAAAAAAAAATCATTGAAAAAAATAATAATTGAAAAAAAAAATTGTTAGTCAAATTTTTAAATTTCTGTTTAAAAACCAACGTAAACTCATTTTTGAATTTACGTTTTTTCCTCAAATTTATAAACTGAGACAACCATTTATAAACCAAAAAATTTATCAAGCAAGTTTTTATGACAGTTTTTAAAATTTTTGTAAATATAAAATGAAAACTGAAAACGAAATGGTCAGCCTGTTTGGTAACCATTCCGTTTTCAATTTTCAGTTTATATTTACAAAAATTTTAAAAATTCTCATAAAAACTTGTTTGATAATTTTTTTTCGTTTATAAATGATTGTCTCAGTTTATTAATTTGATGAAAAAACGTAAACTCAAAAAATGAGTTTACGTTTTCAGTTTTCAATTAATTTTTTTCAAATAATTTTTTTTCAATTATTTTTTTCAATTAATTTTTTTTCAAATATTTTTTCCCATATTAAATTTTTTTTCAATTATTATTTTTCATTTTTTTCAAAAGCAGTGCCTCCCATGTCATTTCTTTCATGAACCCTTCATTGATCGCTGCCTATAAATATATACAAGTTAAATTCTCAATTTTATTTTATTTTTTTTATATTTTAAATCCAACAAAAGCAGTGCCTCCCATGTCATTTCTTTCATGAACCCTTCATTGATCGCTGCCTATAAATATATACAAGTTAAATTCTCAATTTTATTTTATTTTTTTTATATTTTAAATCCAACAAAAGCAGTGCCTCCCATGTCATTTCTTTCATGAACCCTTCATTGATCGCTGCCTATAAATATATACAAGTTAAATTCTCAATTTTATTTTATTTTTTTTATATTTTAAATCCAACAAAAGCAGTGCCTCCCATGTCATTTCTTTCATGAACCCTTCATTGATCGCTGCCTATAAATATATACAAGTTAAATTCTCAATTTTATTTTATTTTTTTTATATTTTAAATCCAACAAAAGCAGTGCCTCCCATGTCATTTCTTTCATGAACCCTTCATTGATCGCTGCCTATAAATATATACAAGTTAAATTCTCAATTTTATTTTATTTTTTTTATATTTTAAATCCAACAAAAGCAGTGCCTCCCATGTCATTTCTTTCATGAACCCTTCATTGATCGCTGCCTATAAATATATACAAGTTAAATTCTCAATTTTATTTTATTTTTTTTATATTTTAAATCCAACAAAAGCAGTGCCTCCCATGTCATTTCTTTCATGAACCCTTCATTGATCGCTGCCTATAAATATATACAAGTTAAATTCTCAATTTTATTTTATTTTTTTTATATTTTAAATCCAACAAAAGCAGTGCCTCCCATGTCATTTCTTTCATGAACCCTTCATTGATCGCTGCCTATAAATATATACAAGTTAAATTCTCAATTTTATTTTATTTTTTTTATATTTTAAATCCAACAAAAGCAGTGCCTCCCATGTCATTTCTTTCATGAACCCTTCATTGATCGCTGCCTATAAATATATACAAGTTAAATTCTCAATTTTATTTTATTTTTTTTATATTTTAAATCCAACAAAAGCAGTGCCTCCCATGTCATTTCTTTCATGAACCCTTCATTGATCGCTGCCTATAAATATATACAAGTTAAATTCTCAATTTTATTTTATTTTTTTTATATTTTAAATCCAACAAAAGCAGTGCCTCCCATGTCATTTCTTTCATGAACCCTTCATTGATCGCTGCCTATAAATATATACAAGTTAAATTCTCAATTTTATTTTATTTTTTTTATATTTTAAATCCAACAAAAGCAGTGCCTCCCATGTCATTTCTTTCATGAACCCTTCATTGATCGCTGCCTATAAATATATACAAGTTAAATTCTCAATTTTATTTTATTTTTTTTATATTTTAAATCCAACAAAAGCAGTGCCTCCCATGTCATTTCTTTCATGAACCCTTCATTGATCGCTGCCTATAAATATATACAAGTTGTGTTAGTTTTTGAGGAAGAAAGATCAGAGAAGCAGGAAAATTAAAATAAAACAAAATAAAAATTGAAAATAACCTAAATTTGTCTGATCAAACAAAAGTGGAAAAAGAGTCGTATAAAAAATATATATTATATGTATCCATGGATATATTAATTACTATTATTAACAGATAATATAGTATAATTTTAAAAGTTTTGTATATTTATAATTTGTATAATAAGTGAGATTAGTAATAATGTCATAATATATATTGGTATACTAATTAATATATCAAGTCTCGTTTGGGAACAGGCTTTTTTAGTAACTTTTTGACTAAAATATGATTTAAAAAAACTAGTATGTTTAGGAAAACTTTTTAACTTTTTACGAAAAGATGTACAAAAAGTAAAGAGAAAAGAGAATCTTTGACTTTTTGGTATAAGTTGTTGACTTTTTGACTTTTTTAATAATTTTTTGACTTTTTGACTAAAAAAGTCACTTGCCAAACGAGACCTTAATGCATGAAACATCACAAGAAAAAAAATGATTAAATGTGAGTGGAGATTTCATTAAACTAGCGCTATATTCCGATCAAAACTTGACCTTACTAGAATAGTCGATGAGTACTTTGGTGGTAAGTTCCTTTTTATGAGTTAGGTTAAATCAGTCCGACAATCAATTACCTCAAAATCTGGACCTATAGATACGGTGATAACACCTCAAAACATTAAAATAAAAAAATTAAAATTAAAAAAAAAAACTGCTCATTGGTTACTATTAACAGAAATTTCTATTAAAAGCATTAATTACCCACCCAATATGAAATGAATTGGGCAAATTACAAACACCCTGGTGAAAATATAGATTTTCTTGAAGTTTGAGAAATTATAGAGAAATTATAAATTACGGGTCAAATTTTCATAATAAATAAGGAAAAATTAGGAGAAATCTGTATGAAAATAAAAACTTCATAGAACAATTTATTATGGAAATATAAACCTTAGGAGCAGGATGCAATTTCTCAAACCTCATGGAAAAATCTGTATTTTCACCAAATCTGGAGGGGTGTTTGTAATTTGCCCAAATGAATTATAGCTTTCATTTCAATGATTATAACTGCAGTGAACAAATTCCCATTTCTCTCTCTATCTCTAAAACTCTCTCTTTCTAGAGATTTCCATGGGGCTTCCAATGAGTTACAACTCCTTGGACAGGAACAACTCTGCTGTCGGACTCGATCTGCTCAACTCTCGCCATGTTCGCAAGCTTCGATGAGTCGGAAGAGACGCCATCACGATCTTAAAGCTCTAATCATTGAGATCCAAAGCTTTTCTTCCCAATCGATCATGACTACAACGTGATCATGATCTTAAACAGACGCCATCGTGATCAGAGAGGTTAGTGTAATTTCAGAAAAGTAGGGGAGCCAGGGTAATTGTCAGAAATCTCAGAAAGGTAACTGTAATTTATAAAAAAATAAAATAATAAAATAAAAAATTTCAAATCCTTATCCATTCATATATTTTCTATTGTGGATGTTCATGTTCTAGCATTATTGGGCTAGATTTTGTTTTAATATGGTTAAAAGGGTTAATTATAAAAAAAGTTCTTTAAGTTTGATTTAAAATATGAATTATTTTTTATAATTTTAAAAATTATAAATACTGTCAAATTTAATAATAAATAAAATTTTAATTATTTTTTTATATAATAATAAAATTATCAAAATTTTTAATTAAATATATATTTATAATATTATTAAAAATTATTAACTCACTTAATAATTTGTTAATAAAATTGATATTTTATCATGTGATTAGACCATTTAAAAAATAAAATATAATTTTTAAAATTATAAAAAGACAATTAATATTCTAAACAAACTTCAGTATTTATAATTTAACATTTCTATTATCGGCAGAGATAAAGACTATATAAAAGACTTTTCAAAAATCCACCACTGGTCCAAAAAAAATAATAAAAAAAAAAAAATTGCACCACACATTGCCACTATCTAAAAAGTTAATTGCTCACCATTCTTGACCATGATGTTGAATTGTTTTTTCTCTTCATCCCATTTTTTTCTCTTATTGATGTTAACACTTGCTGTTTATTAATTTAGTTGTCAGTTTAATTACTCAACTCAAATGGAGACAAAAAGAGGTTGTTGATTGATGATCTTGGGCTAAAAGGGTAGTACTAGTGTTGGTGAAGGGAAGTGTTTGGAGGAAAAGAAAGGAAAATCTGGTAGTTATGGAAGAAGAAGACAATACTTATCAAGAAAATCATGGTTGTTTGTTAAAAGCAGCTAGGAAAGTCAGTGTTTTAGTAACAAAGATGGTGGAGTTGCCGATGAAGATCAGAGCTCCGGTGAGAGCTTCCATCATCTTGTTCCTCATCCTCTTGACTGCTGCCCTTTTATCACTCCATTGGATTGATGCTGTGCCTGTATGTTTCTCTTCTACAATCTCATTTTCCCGGAAAATTCTCTAATCCATTTTTTTTCTTTTCTTTTGTAGTATATTGCTTTTCCTCTATGCATCCTTGAACCCACATCATATAATTCATCATGAATAAAAAAAAACATGCTATCAATTATAGAGATGCTATTAACAAATATTGAATTAGCCATGCCCTGTAAGCAATCTCTGGAGCGAGCCATAAACTCGAACATCTTGTATTTGATTTTTGGTACTTTTGGGGTTTAATCGATACCTATGTAGTTTGTTAGTAACTGCAATTATTTGAGTTTTACTTTGTAAAAATACGACCAAACCCCTGCCTTCAAGTGGTTCATGGTCATTAAAATTATATATAGAGGTAAATTATATTTTTCATTTTTATAGTTTGATTAAAATTTTATTTTCGTCTTTTTTATTTTAATTTGAATAATTTGGTTTCTATATTTTAAGTCAAATTTTATTTTGAATCTTTTGTTGTCAGTCTATACCTTCAAGAGATTGATTATTGTATAAAAATGGTTAATTTTAATCTCCAATTTAAACAAAATAGCCAAATTAAAATTAAACTTAAAACATAAAAATTAAATTGTTCAATTTAAAATAATAAAAATTTAAATAAAATTTAAATTAAACTATAAGAATTTAGAGTGTGATTCCCATAATTCAAATATAAGGTAGAGAATTCTCATATAAATGTGAGTTAAATTACAACACCTAACTCCGTTAATAATAGAAACAAAATAAATATATACATGGTTAAATTACAGAGTAAAGTGAATTTTATTCTAAAATATTTTGATGTATGCAATTTTGATCATTAGAAAGGGAATTCTGCTTTTTAGGTGGATATATAGCTTCTATATATGTGTGGCCCTATACCGTGCCATTTTGAGAACATGGTAAAAAGTCACGTTTTTGGACAAAATATCCAAAAACGTGGTTGCCAAAAACGCAAGAAAAGCCATTTGGCAAGTGCCAAAAACGCAGCCGTAAAATTACAAATTAAGGCCTATGAAAAAAAAATAAAAAAATAAATCTCTTATGTTGGATAAGGGTATTTTGGTCATTTTAATTTGATTTGACACCATAAATAAATATTAAACTAAAAAGCAAAAAGTCAGTTTTTTACCAACTTCCCAAATCACTTCCAAAAAAGCCAAAAACTTGGTAAAAAGTCAAAAGTCAACTTTTTACCAACTTCCCAAAACAACCCACAGTCTTTTGTCCTTTTGGTTGACTTGATACATTTATGTATTTATGGTTGTGTATTGCAGGACTAACAGTGAATTAATATGCATAAAATTACAATAGTCCCGTTTAGTAGAGCTGTGAGAAAGTGATTATAGATTATACCTTAATAGCTTATAACTTAAAATTGTGAACATAAGCTGATTTTTTACTTATAAATTAAGCTTCTCCTCCCCCACTCAAAGAATAAGTTGATTTTTGACTTACAAGAAGTTATAAGTTATGTTGTTATAAGGTTTTAAAAAATGGCCGCAACCGTTACGTAATGCCATTACGTAACGGTTGTGGTAGTTATCGCCACCAGTTACGGCCGCTTCTGCAGTGTGATTGAGATTCACAGATGTATTGGCCGTAGCGGCTACTATAGCGGTCGTAACGGTGCCGTAACGGCCGTAACAGCCTGTTACACATCGTTACGTAACGGTTCCGAATTGCTTCTTTCGAAAAACAAAACACAAAAAAAAAAAAGTTGAAAATGGGGAAAGAGAGATAGAGAGAGAAGATGAAATATGAAAGGGGAGATGGAGGAACGAAAGATAGATAAAGAGAGAGAAGAGAGAAGATGAAGAGCATGTTATTGATTTGTTAAAACTGTAAGACCTTTGCTATTCTATTCAGTTGTTATCACTCAACCATTTTGTTTGTGTGTGTCTATCTATATATTGTTTGAAAATAATAATAATAATAATAATAAGTGTGGTCATTATCTATTTATCTTGATTAATATATATATATATATATATATATATATTTAGGCTTTTATTTATTCTCTTACTTTTGTCATTGTTTATCTTATATATAATAGATAGTGATTGATTTTTTGTATAATATAAAGTCATTAATTATTAAAATAAAATGTAAAAAACTCTATTTATAGTGATTTAAAAATATGAAATATATTGGATCAAACTTAAAAATTTATAAAAATTGATCAATATTTATTTTAAAATCCAATAAATATGATCATGGAAAAAAAATGTGTGTATGGATAAGTTTTTTTCAAATTATGCCAAAAATAAAAAAATTCACGGTTTCGGTTACCGCAACCGTTACGCTACGGCTTTTACACTCCACAACCGCAACTGCGCCACTGTCACCTTTACGGCGACCGCAACCGCTTTTCAGAACCTTGGTTGTTAAGCTAAACCAAACACATCAAAATAGTTTAAATTAAGTTAAAAATTGAAATAAACTGGAAATAAATCTTACCAAACAGGGTCAATGTTCTTTCAAACAATAAGAATTAATATACATATATAATTAATATAAACAATAATATGGTATCGTTTTCACCACTTTTTTTTTTTAACTTGCAATGTTCTAACTAATAAAAAGAGAATAACGTGAAGTATAAAGATAATGGACGGTGGGAAATGAAAGGATTTGGAAAGTTGATTGAAAAATGCTAAAAAAGAGGAAAATGTTAATAAATAAAGAATAAAAACAAAGAAAAAAGTAAGGGTATTTTAGTCACATTATCAAAAAAAATTATGCTGTAAGAGTTGTTATCATAACTTTTCTCAATCTTTGTAATAGTGGGATAATTAGGCCTAATGCATTCTTAACAAAACTCCTAAAAAATTTCTAACAAACAATGTGATCATATCATTCTTATAAAAAATATATATATTTATGAATATTTTATTTTAATTTGAAACATTCATATTAAGTCACATTATTTTCTATGAAAATTATATATAAATTTTTTTTATATATATTATTTCTCTTTGAATAATCGCAATTGAAAATTTGAAATTGATGCTTCACAGAAGTACCCGATATATCATCAGGCATCCTTTGAGTTGGGAGTATTGTAATATATCATCGACTTTCGTAATTATTTTGTATCATCTAGAATATGGCAATATATTACTTCTTAGCGTTAATTGCTTAATAAATATCTTCAAATAAAAAAATAAATTATAAATATTCATGTAAACGGATAATAAAAAAATGTGACAAAAAATCAAGGACACATTTTTCCTGAAGTTCTTGTACGTAGGCAAACAATAATACACATCTCACAATGCCACAAATCTGAATTAAAAAATTAATTGTATGAGGCATCAATAATACACATCTCACAATGCCACAAATCTGAATTAAAAAATTAATTGTATGAGGCATCGTGTTGTGGATAGATTGTAAGTCCATCAACTAACAACGTGGTATTTGATAACTGGAAATTTTGAAATTATCTGAGATTGTGATTTGTAATTAGGATTTATTTTAATAATAGAACAATAATTTCAAATCAAACAAACAAATAATTAATCCAATTATGAGAGAATTGTATTAGTCCTACAAACAAGTAATGATAAATTTACACGACGATATAATGTGAAGAAAAAAAAAAAAAATCACGGGCTGAAAGCCGGCCTCGTTTGCGAACAGACTATTTTAGTGTCTTTTTGACTTTTTACGAAAAGATGTGCAAAAAAGTAGAAAGAGTGATATGATAACTTATAGTGACTTTTTGACTTTGACTAAAATTGAAAATTGCCAAATGAAAGAAATTACATACGAGAACTCTCAATTACTTAACGAATTCACATCCAAATTGAATCGAACCCGATATGTCTCTTCCAATACTGTCTTCACCGCATAATTGCTTTGCACAACATTGAATCTACAATGTCAAAGTCGAATACACGACAATTAGCCACTTTAGAATCCACCAAAGCATCAAACTCAAGTTTCCCGAAATCCACCAATGAACATCTCTCTAGAAAGTGTATTTGAATGAAAAAAATCCCTTAATGATCTTCAATATAAAGCTTGTTGATCCATAGATCACTCTCAATCTATCAAGATACACACATGGATCACTCTAGATGCCTCTCCCTCTGTTTTTCGCACTTTAGGGTTGAATATCTGAGAGTCTCACCCAAATTTGATCCAAATGCACATTTAAGTGTCTAAAACCAACTTAGATCGCTCAAGCGCACAATCTACCGCTCAAGCGGACCTTTTGGTGATCCAATATTTTTCTATGAAACTCTGAGATGCTATGAGCTTGTCTAGACCACTCGAGCGCTACTTTCTGAGCTCGAGCACACATGTCACCGCTCGAGCTCAACTTGTTATGCTCGAGCACACATCAAAAAAAATGCCCGTTTGCTCATGTGCAACATTCTCTGCTCAAGTGCACATACTTTTCCTTTAGCACAAACTTCTCTGCTCAAGCACAAATTGTCAATTGGATTGGATTCGTATCTAAGCACTCTCATTCTCATTTATCTTATATATAATAGATAGTGATTGATTTTTTGTATAATATAAAGTCATTAATTATTAAAATAAAATGTAAAAAACTCTATTTATAGTGATTTAAAAATATGAAATATATTGGATCAAACTTAAAAATTTATAAAAATTGATCAATATTTATTTTAAAATCCAATAAATATGATCATGGAAAAAAAATGTGTGTATGGATAAGTTTTTTTCAAATTATGCCAAAAATAAAAAAATTCACGGTTTCGGTTACCGCAACCGTTACGCTACGGCTTTTACACTCCACAACCGCAACTGCGCCACTGTCACCTTTACGGCGACCGCAACCGCTTTTCAGAACCTTGGTTGTTAAGCTAAACCAAACACATCAAAATAGTTTAAATTAAGTTAAAAATTGAAATAAACTGGAAATAAATCTTACCAAACAGGGTCAATGTTCTTTCAAACAATAAGAATTAATATACATATATAATTAATATAAACAATAATATGGTATCGTTTTCACCACTTTTTTTTTTTAACTTGCAATGTTCTAACTAATAAAAAGAGAATAACGTGAAGTATAAAGATAATGGACGGTGGGAAATGAAAGGATTTGGAAAGTTGATTGAAAAATGCTAAAAAAGAGGAAAATGTTAATAAATAAAGAATAAAAACAAAGAAAAAAGTAAGGGTATTTTAGTCACATTATCAAAAAAAATTATGCTGTAAGAGTTGTTATCATAACTTTTCTCAATCTTTGTAATAGTGGGATAATTAGGCCTAATGCATTCTTAACAAAACTCCTAAAAAATTTCTAACAAACAATGTGATCATATCATTCTTATAAAAAAATATATATATATATATTTATGAATATTTTATTTTAATTTGAAACATTCATATTAAGTCACATTATTTTATATAAAAATTCTATATAAATATTTTTTATATATATTATTTCTCTTTGAATAATCACAATTGAAAATTTGAAATTGATGCTTTGCAGAAGTACCCCATATATCATTAGGCATTCTTGGAGTTGGGAGTATTGTTATACATCATCGGTTTTCGTAATTATTTTGTATCATCTTGAATATGGCAATATATTACTTCTGAGCATTAATTGCTTAATTCTTTTGAAAAGTTGATAAAAAACTAGCTTCCACCTTTTTATCAATTTTGGATCACATCACTTTTCACATAACTTATTTATAAAAAGATAAAATAAGTTAAAAAAAGTCAAAAAATCAATTTTTTACCAATTTTCCAAAACACCTAAATATCTTCAAATAAAAAAATAAATTATAAATATTCATGTAAACGGATAATAAAAAAATGTGACAAAAAATCAAGGACACATTTTTCCTGAAGTTCTTGTATGTAGGCAAACAATAATACACATCACACAAAGCCACAAATCTGAATTAAAAACTTCATTATATGACGAATGATGTTGCGGATAGATTGTAAGTCCATCAACTAACTACGTGGCATTTGATAACTGGGAATTTTAAAATGAAAAATGCTTAGTGCTCCTACTAATTAGATGGTAGTGGGTCCCGCCATTAATGATGTGATGTTTTGGTCTTGAAATTGTATTTTTTTTTTATTTTTTTTAATGCATTAGTGCTATTAGTGGTGATGTTTTTAGTGGGATGAATCATTGTTGTTTTAAAATTATCAGAGATTGTGATGTGTAATTAGGATTTAATTTTAATAATAGAACAATAATTTCAAATCAAACAAACAAATAACTAATCCAATTACGAGAGAAGTGTATTAGTCCTACAAACAAGCAATGATAAATTAACACGATGATATAATGTGGGGAAAAAAAAAATCACGGGCTAAAAGCTGGCCTCGTTTGAGAACAGTAGAAATAGTGATGTGCAGAAAAGATGTGCAGAAAAGTAAAAATAGTGATGTGATAATTTATAATGACTTTTTGACTTTGACTAAAATTGAAAATTGCCAAATGAAAAAAATTACACACGAAAACTCTCAATTACTTAACGAATCCACATCCAAATTGAATCGAACCCGATATGTCTCTTCCAATACTGTCTTCACCGCATAATTGCTTTGCACAACATTGAATCCACAATGTCAAAGTCGAATACACAACAATTAGCCACTTTAGAATGCACCAAAGCATCAAACTCAAGTTTCCCGGAATTCACCAATGAACATCTCTCTAGAAAGTGTATTTGAATGAAAGAAATCCCTTAATGATCTTCAATATAAAGCTTCTTGATCCATAGATCACTCTCAATCTATCAAGATACACACATGAATCACTCTAGAAGCCTCTCCCTCTGTTTTTCGCACTTTTAGGGTTGAATATCTGAGTCTCACCCAATCTAATCCAAATGCACATTTAAGTGTCTAAAACCGACTTAGATCGCTCAAGCGCACAATCTACAGCCCGAGCGGACCTTTTGATGATTCAATATTTTTCTATGAAACCCTGAGATGCTATGAGCTTGTCTAGACCACTCGAGCGCTACTTTTTGCACTCGAACACACATGTCACTGCTCAAGCACAACTTCCTGTCCTTGAACGCACATCAACAAAAATGCCCCTTTGCTCATGTGCAACATTCTCTGCTCAAGTGCACATACTTTTCCTTCAACACAAACTTCTCTGCTCAAGCACAAATTGTAAATTGGGTTGGATTCATATTTAAGCACTCTCATTCTCACCAAAAACCTGTGAAGCACGGATACTCCGAAATGGCCCCCGTACACGTATCGGATACGGATACGCGCCCGATATGGCGGGATACGTATCAGATACAGGAAATGAAGTATCCAAATTTTTTTTTTAATTTTTGAATTTCGGATACGTCTAGGATACGGTTGAGATACGGTCAGGACACGGTATGGATACGATGGGGCAAAAAAATAATTTAAAAAACTTAAAATGGGGTCAAAGTATAAAATATGAAAATAGGATAAAATAAAACACAAAAAAAAAATAATAATAATCAAACTTACCTTGACTTAGGTCGAACTCGAACAGCAGCCGCGAAGAAGGAGGAGGAGGAGTTCCACGGTCTGCCTCTCACTCGATTTCGAACAACAGCTCGACGGTCGTCGATCAGGTTCGCGAACAGGAGCTCCACGGTCGTCAATTAGGTTCGTCCCTCTCTCTCTCCCTTTCGCTTCCTCTGTCTGCCTCTCACTCGATCTCACGAACTCTCTCTCTCTCTCTCTCTCTCTCTCTCTCTCTCTCTCTCTTACAAACTCTGTCTGTGTCTGGTTGGAGATGGACAGATTTCGATCGCATCTCCCTCCCTCTTGGTCGATCTGTCTGTGTCTGGTTGGAGATGGACAGATTTCGATCGCATCTCTCCCCCCCCTCTTGGTTGATCTTTCTCTCCCTCTCCCTTATCTATGTCGTCTCGTCTCTGTTTGCATATTTATTTTTATTATTTTTTGTATGTGTACTCTATAAATAAAATAAAATAAATCAAATAAATAAACTTATTACTATTACTTGAATCCTAATTAAATAAATAAATAAACTTATTAATTTTTTTGTATGTACTATTACTTGAATCCTGATAAAACAAATAAATAAATTAACTTATTAAAAATAAACTTTTTAAACTTATAAACTTTATATACTTATTAATAAATCAAATAAGGTAAAAAAAACTTATTAATAAATAAATAAACTTATTAAAAATAAACTTTGTCAACTTATAAAATTATAAACTTTATAAACTTATTAATAAATCAAATAAGGTAAAAAAAAAAAACTTATTAATAAATAAATAAATAAACTTATTGATAAATAAATGAACTTTGTAAATTTTTTTTCCCTTAATTTAAATTATGCAAATTATGGGATTGAATTGCATTATGGTTGTTATGTTATGGGTGATGCTATATTGTTGAAATTGTTGAAATTTAATTGGATTGATGAATTTTTTGTTATGGGTGATGCATTATGGTTGTTATGGGTGATGTTACATTAATGTTTTGTTTTATTTGTCTACCATAAATTTTAAGAAATGAGTTCGGGTACGGGAAGTTCAGGTTCAACAAGTGGTACACCAATTGATGATTTTTTTTTTTTTTATCAAGTTGTCTTTTGCTCTAAGTTTTATTTTTATGTATGCTACATTACTAAAAATTGTTGAAGTTTTATTTTATGTCTGTTGCATTACTAAAAATTGTTGAAGTTTTATTTTTGTGTATGCTACATTACTAAAAATTGTGAAAAAAATATTTTTTATGAACGTATCCCCGCCGTATCCGTATCCTACTTTTTTGAATTTTGTCGTATCGCCATATCCGTATCGTATCGTACCCGTATCCTGTATCCGTATCCGTGCTTCCTAGTCAAAAACTAAAGAGCAAATGTAGTTATAATTGAATGAAATTTTGTCCAACGAAATTGCTAATTACAAAAAACTTAACAATAACTTTGTTCAATACTTCAAACTGAATATTAACTCTGTTTGATAATCCCAAATCATATCGCTTACAAAGTATAGTATTTTTTAAAATAAAAGTTAAAAATTAATAAAAAAAATTACATAACAGAATTCTTACTTAATAATAACTGAATTTATGATTGTTGATATTTCCATCTTCCTTATTAGTTGTTTGACTAGCCTGGTCAATCAACCTAACTAATCACGCAATATAGAATCTATCTTAAATTCATGTAAATGATATAGTTGGTCATTTCATTTTTTTCTTGTTTTCTTTATTATTTTATTTTATTTTTTTGAGTAATTTTTCTCAAAAGTGCTATGGATCATGAAAATCATCTCGAAGATGTGGTTGGTAGATCAATCGGCTAACCAGAAAAGCTTAGGATTGACAGCGATTTCAAGATGATTTTTGCAAAACAACATTTGTGGTCCATAGCATTGCATATATTTTCCTCATTAGTTGTTTTTCCAGCCTGCTATTACAGATATGTCATTCCAAGAGGCATTTCTACCCTCCATAACTTCCAATACATCTTGGGCTGGGATCAATTGCTCATTCACATGCCCTACACCTTCTCCAGCAACAATCAAGCCAAATGAATCCTCATCCTCCGAGGTGTGCCCAGAGTACTTCCGGTGGATCCACGAAGATCTTAAGCCATGGAAAAAGAAAGGAATCACAAAGAAAATGGTGGAAAGTATTCAAAGTGAAGCACATATTAGAATAATTGTAGTGAATGGAAGATTGTATGTGAGGAAGTATAGAGGGGTGTACCAAACAAGAGATGTGTTCACTGTGTGGGGCATATTGCAGCTGATGAAGTTGTACCCTGGAAAGTTACCAGACTTGGATATCATGTTTGAATGTAGTGACAGACCAGTGATTCAAAAGACGAACTATGGTGGATCAAAAGTGCCTCCAATGTTTCATTACTGTGGGAGTGATTCAACTCTGGATATAGCTTTTCCTGACTGGTCCTTTTGGGGTTGGTAAATCATTTACTTTTTCTTTTTCCTTTTTATTTAGTAAAAATTAATATTGTTATACAGGAAAAAGATATTCATCACCAGTTATTTCACCTCTGATGTGAATCTACGCAACAAACACAATTTGCAGATATTAGATCCATTATTTCTTCGATCTACTGCATTGATTGTGAGAGACTTTATATTAGATCCACTATCTCCTCAGTCAAAAATAATACATTCATCATTTTTTTTTCTAAAACTATGATGACTTTTTTTTGTACCCGATGACAATTTTTATGTGGATTCACATAAAGAGGTAAAAATTGGTGAAATCCATCCGATGATATATTGCAGCTTCTTTTTTTAAATGCTATACTTAGAAAAAAAAATCTTAGAATTTGAATCTATATATTTAATTTGAAGTAGTGTGCGTCACAACCATAAATAACTTCCTCTTTTTTTATCAGCAAAAGAAAAGACTTTATTAATACAATCTGAGAGGGAGATTAATGATATGGACTTTGTGCCAGACAGATTTGGGCCGGGCAGACTCTCCCTTCTCTCTATTCCCTCTAAGGTGTGTGCTAACTTGACCGTCGGAGGGTTTTTCCGGCCACACACCGCCGGGTAGCTCACCCCTATTGGCTCGCAGGTGATCGGACATCGACGGAAATTGGAAGAAAGGAATACGGGCACGCCGGAATATTTGCTCCCCGTACACAATCAATAACTAACAATAAATAACTTTATTAATGAAATAGTGGTGAGTATACCTGCCTGTCACAGCCACAAATAACTTCTGGATATTTTTTATAATTTTTTTATCAATACGTAATATTAATGTTTGGAAAGTGTTATTTTTTTAAATGTTTATTATATATATAATTATCTACCAGAATGACACAGTAGTAACCTTTTCTAAACAGCACCGTTACATCTATTAAATTTGTTTAACTCGAATTCGTCCGAATAAGTCTGTTTCTGAGAAGAGACTCGCACACGAGAGTCTCTTTCCGGGAAGAGACTCATTCAAGTTAATTTGGGCTAAACATATTTGGTGAACGAATTATTATTGTCCAAATAAAAAAATTATCTTGATGAACCTTTTATTTTAAAGTAACAAGTCCAAAATTCAACGTATCTTTATGCACCATTTTCTGTTTATATGTGATTACTTTTTATAATTTCTACATGTATAGATAGATGCATGTTAAATACTGTAGTAACAATTTTTCAATATTTTTGGTTTGGCAGGCCAGAGGTGTATATAAAGCCATGGGAAACCCTGAGGAAGGATCTAGAAGAAGGCAACAAGAGAGTGAAGTGGATTGATAGGTTACCCTATGCTTATTGGAAAGGGAACTCGTGGGTTAGTTCAGTCAGAAATGAGCTTCTCAAATGCAATGTCACTGACAAACAGGATTGGGGTGCACTCGTTTATCAGCTGGTAATAAATCTTTAATAATTTTTTGATAATTATATTTTTATATTATATTTGATTTATTACCTGAAGGGCGAGTCCGGCGTAGCAGTAAAGCTACCCTTGGTGACTTGGAGGTCACGGACTCGAGTCGCAGAAATAGCCTCCGTTTGCGAGGAGTTTCGTGCGCTAGGTACGCCTTATTGATTTATTACCTGAGTTGTTATCACTGCATTGAAAACATATATAAGTGGGGGCGAGTTACAACTAATATGATGTGACTATTCACATGATAAATTAAGAGGTCCTTAGGCAATAGTGAAAAATAACTTAAAAGATAAAAAGTCATTAAAAAGTCAAAAAGTAAACATATATAAAAAATGTAAAGATTCATTTAAAAGTTAAAGATTCATTTCCATTCACTTGAATTTTTATGCATTTTTTCGTAAAAAATTAAAAAATCTTCTTAAATATGTTAGTTTTTTTCATCTCATATTTTAATCAAAAAACAAAAATTACTGAAAAAATTTGTTCCCAAACGACACCTAAATCTAATATAATTATTGATAAATTTTATAAACTTTTCATGTGTTTTTTTTTTTAGAACATATGTTTTATTTATGCGATACCTTTCATATCCTTGGAGTGAGTTTCGTTTCACTTTTCAAAGTTTTATTACTATATCACACATCAATTAATAAAAATACATATATATATATATATATATACACTAAGAGTGGCACATTCATGGCAAAGATGGGTTGCATTTGACCAGTTTTTCCACAACCTCGTACCTTGTTTTCATCCAATTTTGAAATGATACTATTTAGGTTAAATTATATTTCTGACTCTAATTTTTACTTAAATTTTGTTTTAGTCACTAAATTGGTAATTGCAACAATTAAGTTCCAAGATTTCATCTCTTGTTCCATCTAATGTTCTAACTTGATCTTCTCGTCACCCACGTTTGAGTGAAAATTGAAAGATGAATCACCAAAACTTCAATAAATGTTAGAGCCTATGAGCTTTGTATAACTTGCTCTGTAGTTTTTTTTCCCTCTAATGCCCTTGAATGTGCTCGTGGCCTTGCATTAACATTTTTTGTCCAAATTTTAAATGGCTGACTGACAGGAGGACGGCATTAAAACACAAGTTGAAATTTGATAATGAAATTATTGCGACTAAAAGATGAATGATTATAATAAAATTAGAATGAAAGATAAAGTGCGAAAAATGTAATACCTTATTAATTTTAAGGATAAATTATATCGGTAGTCCCTGTATTTTGCCCTTATATAATTTTGTCTATTATCAGTTCAATTAACTTGATTTTGACCCTTAATTTTAGATTCTATGTTCATTTGGTCCAATTGATAAAGTCGATTAGAGTTTTTGAAGGAATATAATCATTAAGTTGGTTGAGATTAACTTACTAAGTTGAACAAATTTATAAACCTATAAAAAATGACACATGCTGTTCATGTACTTATTTTCCATTAAAAAACAATAATAATTGTAATTAATTGCACTAAATTGAGATAAAATTATAAATTTATGATCCAAATCGAACCAATTAAAATTACATTAACTAAAATGATACAAAGAGCAAAGTGTAGAGACTAAACTGCCGAAATAATTCTGCTCAAAAAAAAACCTACCAATATAATTTACTTAATTTTTTTTATACGTTAGCGATGGACTTTACTATACTCAAATGTTGTCTTTACATAACATTGTGTTTTAATTGAAAAAAAAAAAAAAATTGTCCTTTTGGGTAATTCTCTATCTATTTCTTTACTTATTTATTTATTTTTGGATGCCAATTTAATTGTAGGGTAAATTACATTTTGTACCACTATACTTTACATCAAATTTCATTTTGATCCCTACATATGAAATTATAACAATCAACCATTTGCGTTTTTAGTTAAATGTCAATGTCTCCCTTATGTTACTCCATTATTTAAGTCTTTAACAAAATCTAATCATGTGACAAGCATATACGAAATGAGGTCAAAAGAGAAAAATCAACCCCATTTTCTTCCTATACACATTTCATCCCAAAATTTATATTAAATTATAACTGTATTCAACTAAAACAAAGCACAAATTGTGAATAATTAAGGAGATGAACTTTATTCCTCTTCCTTTCTCTTCCTTTCTCTTTGATTTCTCTGTTGCATTTTTTTATTTCAAAGATTATGTTTCCTTACCTCTTCATCCTTATTTTCAGCATGTGATATATATATATATATATATAACTCTTACATGTTTATCACGTAAGACAAAGTGTGCATTAGTGAGAAATGAGAATGATTTTCCTCTTACTCTCATTTTATAGTAACATGCTTGTTACGTGACTGGTTTTTATTGAAGACTTAAATAATGGAGTAACATAATGAGAACATTGATATTTGACCAAGTATAAATGGTTAATTATCATGATTTTATATGTACGGATCAAAGTGAAATTTGGTGTAAATTGTATTTATACAAATGCTGATAGTAGAGAAGCAATTTTGCAGGATTGGGAACTTGCGCGTGAAGAGAGGTATAAAAATACAAATTTGGCAAACCAATGCACTCATAGGTAACCAAATGAATCCGATTTTTATGTTTGGTTGTTAGAATATTTTGTGAGAAATCAATTTATGAATAACATTTTCGTATTTTAATAGAATGCAATTTCTCTCCAGTCTACTAAACCAGTCTACGCACCTGGTCCCTAATGATCCAATTAGTTAATTTTTTAGCCTCCCTATATAGATCATCTAGAAAAATATAGATTGATTCAATAATTATAGGTGTATAATTTAATTATTTGTCTCTAAAAAATAAAAAAAATAAAAAAAATAAACCATCTGTTTTTAAAATTATACTTACCATTTATTTTTTGAACTCAAAAATGATAAAATCATATAATTATAATTATCAGACACTCCCTTACTATGCACAATACCTGAGTTGCAAACTAGATGCAGTTTCCCTTTCTCCTCTCCATTTCCTATTGAATGTTTCTTTTCTTTCCTTATAATTTTCTCTTCCATTTCCTTCTACTATTTTTTTTTTTTAAACAGATATAAGATTTATGCTGAAGGAGTTGCATGGTCTGTAAGTCAAAAATATATTCTGGCATGTGATTCAATGAGTTTGCTGATAGCACCCCACTTTTACGAATTTTTCACAAGAAGTTTACTACCCACAATTCACTATTTGCCAATCAATGAGATGGACATGTGCAGATCTATCAAGTTTGCCGTTGACTGGGGAAACAAATACCCACAAAAGGTGATATTTCTCTATAGATATGTAGAATAAATATGTTTTAATAGGAATAACTCATGGGGCCAATATTTAAATAATACTTATTATGTTTTGTACATAAAAATTATTTTTTATTATGGGGAATAAAAAATTTAGATATTTTATCCACAACTTTAGGGTATTTAGTCAAGAAGATTTGTAATAGGGCCTTGCATGAGAATTTTTTTAGGTGATTATCAACTAGTGTCATTAATTAGATTTAAATAGTATAAGGAAAATGGTTTGTAGCTCGAATCCTTGCGTCCTCGAATCCCCCGACTGCTCAAAACGACGTTTTGGACAGTTTTTACAGTTTTTTTTTTTTTTTTTCTTCTCTTTATGCAGTCTGAAACAGAGGGAGAGAAAGAGAAAGAGGGAAAGAAGAGAGAAGAAGAGAGGGGAAGAGAAAGAGAAGGAGAGAAAGAGAAGAGAGGGGAAGAGGGAATGGAGAGAGAGAGAGAGAGGGTCAATCGCCGATCACCGCCGCCTCCGATCGCCGATCTCCTTAGCCCATTTTTTTTTTTTTTCAAATCGAAGCCCCTTTTTTTCTGAAAATGTGTTGACGATGATGATGGTGATGTTGATGAAGATGTTGTTGATGATGAAGATGATGAATGGTTGTTGATGTTGTGGTTGAATGGTTGTTGATGATGATGTTGATGAAGATCTGAAAATGATGATAATAATGATGATGATGATCTTGTTGAAGATGATTTTTTCTCTCTCTCTCTCTCTCTGCTACTCTCCTCTTCCTTCTTCTTCTTCTTCTTTCTTCTTCTGCGTTATTGAAAAAAAAAATAAAAATAAAAAATCAAAACGACGAAACGACGTCATTTTGAATTCCGGGGATTCGGGAAAGGGAGGATTCGAGCTACGTAGCATAACTGATATTATAAGTCCTATTGACTTTTTAAATGCATCAATAAGTCTTACAATATCTATACATATTAAGTTGTTTCATCTTCTCTCTCTCTCTCTCTCTACCATTTTTTCAAAAGTTTCACACTATCATTGTTTATCACCAATGCCACTGCCACTGCCACTGCCATCCACCATTTTTTCAAAAGTTTCGCACTATCATTGTTTATCACCACTGCCACTGCCACTGCCACTGCCATCTACCCACCACCACTCGTCGTCATCCACTCATCATCTTCTCTTCTCTTCTCTCTCTCTCCCCACAATTTTTTCAAAAACTTTACACCACCATTGTCTATCGCCACCACCACCCTTGTACTACCACCACCACCACCTTTATTCAGATGTCGCCACCAGTCACCAAGTATCTCCACCATCATTGCAAATCTACATTCTACTGTAGAAATCGACACTTTACCGTCATAGATCAACACTCTACCATTGTTGATCTACTATATCACCGTCGCCTCCTTTGTTTTAGATTCAAATTTATTTTTATATAATAAATTTATTAGTCTCTCTTGTTTTTTTGTGTATGTGGAAGATGACGATGGATTTGTAAGTGAATGAGTGAATATGAGTAAGATCTTAATAAATAAATTTATTAGTCAGGACTTATAAGTACACAAGTTTAGTTAATTAAACCGGCCTGTAAGTGTCCAATTTTTTATAGCCTTTAAGATTGGGACATATAAACAAAAAGTTTTTTTCTTTTTTATGAGCAATTAAACAAAAGGTTTGTTATGGGCATTTATGTGTTTCCAATTTTTATGATTTGGGATCTTTGAAATGAAGTATTTTTCCTCTTTGATCCCTAGACAATGAGATTTTTTTAATCTTTCTAAAATTTTAAAAAGAAGTATATTTTATTGGGTCTTGAACAAAGAGAGTTGGAACATGAAGCGTTCCAAAATCAGGACCTAAAGTGATTTCAGCCTTGATAGCTCAAAATAATTGTGCGTTTATCAAAGTGCAAGTAATAAAAAAAAAGGGTCCAACTTGTCTCTAGTTAGAGATTAAGATTGGATTGTTCAGTTTAACTTATTGACTTATTTTTGGATCTTATTTTGATAATTTGAACCGTTCAATGTGTAGAACTCGTCAAGTACTATATCTATGTTAAAAAATCACGTTAATTGGATATCGATAGCTATTTGATCAAATTAGTTTTTTATAAATAAAAAAAATGAACTGTAAAAAATAAACGGTTAATAGAAATCTGATCTGATCAAATAACTATCGATATTCGATTAACGTGATTTTTTACAAGAATATAGTACTCGAGAAGTTCTACATATTGAACGGTTCGAATTATCGAATAGGGGCTCACAAATAAGCCCATGCGCCAGACTAGACGGTCCAATCTTGATCTCCAATTGGAGACAAGCTGGACCCAAAAACTAAAAAAAAAAGGTTATATTTAAATTTTGAGTAATTTTTTGTGTATTTTATAGAGGTATGTAACATTTATGTTTCCATTTAGTTAAAAAAAAAAGAGTAAATTATGCAAATAGTTTCTATAGTTTACAGGATGTGTCAATTTGGAACCTGTAGTTTCAATTTGCTCAATTTTGCTCCTTAATTTAACGGATTGTGTCATTTTAGTCTAATAAATAACGGTTGTTAGGTTAATTTAATGGAAGGTCAAACAATGTATCAATTTGATCCATGTACTTTACACGATGTGTCAATTTGGTCCTTATAGTTTCAATTTTCTCGATTTTGACAGGGATTAAATTGACACATTGTGAAAAAATACAGGGACCAAATTGACACATTGTTTGATCTTCCGTTAAATTAACTTAACAACCGTTATTTATTAGACTAAAATGATAAAATCCATTAAATTAAGGGACAAAATCGAGCAAATTGAAACAACAATGACCAAATTGACACATCATGTAAATTGCATGGACTATTTACATACTTTTCCCTAAAAAAAAAAGTTATGATTTGTGTATTTCTATACCAGTATATGAATGTGATGGAAATTTTGTAAGAAGAAAATTTGTCTACTCATTTGCGTTTTTTTTGTTTTGGTTAATTAACAACTCCATTATGACTTACAGGCTCAAGAGATTGGCAAGGTAGGGAGCAAATTCATTCTAGATGAGCTAAAAATGAAGAATGTATATGATTACATGTTTCATTTGCTATATGGATATGGAAAGCTTCTAAAATACAAACCGATTGTACCTAAAGGATCAACCGAAGTGTGTTTAGAGACATTGGCATGTTCTGGAAGCGAGTTGGAGAAGAAGTTCAAGATGATTTCCATGGTGAGCGGTCCAAGAGATACGAGCCCTTGCACCATGCCTGCAGCTTATGATCCTACAACTCTTCAATCATTTCTTGAGAGGAAAGCAAACCTAACAAAGCAAGTAGAGAGATGGGAGGCAAGTGAACATACATAATTGTAAGAGACAAATTTAGAAAAAAAATTCCAAGTAGTTTTTTTGCCTCATTGTGTACGCTATAAGAAAAAGGATTACTAATTGTCAGTCCTTGCACACGAATTTTATTTTATTTTTTTGGAGTTCGTTTTGATGAATTGTCATCCATAATATTAGGGACTAATTAAAGCTTGTGATGGATCCATTCCATGACCTTAAGGCATCCTAGTTAAATTCCCTCTGACTATTTTAGAGCATATTCAGTTATATGCCAAAACACTTATTAAAATCAAAATTTGGCGAGACTTTATATCATAATCTAACATTTTTAAATTTATAAACAAAAAAAAACACTATGAGTGATAATCAAACATAATTATTAATTATTAATTTAGGGTAAACTAAACTTTGTGCCTTTTATGTTTAATTATTTTCTCACGTCGGTGCTTAAAATATATATTTTTCCATTTTAACCCTTCATGTTTTAATTTTTTTTTCAATTACTCCAAAAATTAACTTATGTCCAAAATTAGACAGAAAATGGTGATTCTATTTACACACCACATAAAGACTCAATACACACCACATACATTTTGAATTTTTTGACATTTTCTCAATACACCTTATTAATTTTTGTATAATACCAAAATAACCCTATCATCTTCCCAAACTTTTAAATCCTAACCCTAACTATCACCGACCCCCACCGCCTCCAACTGACGCCATTCCCTCCCCAGCCTCTCTTAACCTTCAATTGCCATCACTCCTCCTCAGTCTCTCTTCTCCTCCCCTGCTGCTTCCTCCTTTCTAACCTCCATGCCCTTACTTCACTGCCTGTTTTCATCATCAATGACTCCTTCCGTCACCATCGTCGCGGCCCCTTCCTCTTTAGTTGCGATCACTAGATCGCGATCTCTCTACCACCTTCGATATCTCTCTCTCTCTCTCTCACAATCGCAATCGCTAAGTCGTGATCTCCTCCCATCACCGATCACTCTTCAACCTTTTTCCTCTCCCTCCCAACTTCACTAGACATTGAAACCCTAGAAAAAATAAAAGAAGAAAAAGGTTGGGAACGGGGTGTGGTAGAAAAGAAAAAGGATGGAAGGCAACTGTTAAGGCAAAAAGGTTAGATTTGGATGGCATCGGCATCGCCGGCGCCGGCGCAACACTGGTGTTGGGTTATGGCTGATGTGTGTATTGAGGGATGGTAGTTGGTGCGTAGAGTTTGTCCAAAAAAGTAATTTAATTAAGGCATAAATTTGCATATTAAAAAAAAAATTAGAAAATGGTGTGGAATAAGAGATTGAGTGGTGTGTAAATAGAATTTTTTGACAGAAAATGATACGTTAGTTGCCACGTGACATAAAAAATATACTATTATATTAAGATTTGAATTTGTATTAGAGGTGTGAGTTAAATAAAATAAAATATTTTGAATGTCTTATTTAGCGATGTTGTTTCTTGCTTATTATCTTGTTATAATTTTTATTCTTAAGTTAATAAATTTTTCTTTATTGATAAAAAAAAAAAAAATAAACAAACAAACAAACAAACAAAAATAATTGAAACTTTAAAATAATTCTCTGTAATTTGCTATCTTTGCAACATGTGACGAAGATATCCACAATTCATTTTATGTGAAATACTTCTGTCATAATTTATTTAAGTTTTTTTTCATAATATTAATTGAAAAATTATTAGCACTTTATTATTGTTGGTTAGGGGAAATTTTTTTTTTTTAAAGTTGTAATTAATAAATGTCTCACTTGATTTAACTTTTTGGCTCCACCACTGTCTACAAGTATAGAATAATCTTCTCGTATAATCTTATTGATCAAGTTTGCACTCCTCTAAACGTCGTCGCTTTGCTACCTGAAAATACAAACGTGAGCTAGCCGGCGAGTGTGTGTCAGAAGCCCCTCCGATGCCTAAGTCAGCAAATAGATAATAGACACAAAAGCTCTGCGTATTTGAGAGTAAGAATTGCAATACTAGTGCATAGGTTATGTCATGAGCTCTTATAGATTCCACCTAGCACAATCTCAGTAGGACTCTAACTCCCCTTAGCAGAGTCCTCCCAGGAGTCACATACCCAAAGATAATGCTTATCTTTAAAACACCCCTGTCACTGCAAGCTGCAGACACCCCATTTTTGACCGTCCTCAAGACTTGGACGTCACCACTTGGAACACTCGGTGATTATCCATGTTTGTGTTCGTTTGGAGTTCCCGGAGGTCTCGGCTCGCGCGCCCTGCCTCAGGATCTCCGAACTTGATCGTTTAGTGTCTGGTTTCACACCAAACACTTGTGTTTTGCCTTGGAGGGGCAGGGAATGCCTTGTGAGGCATCCCCACACACCACCGGCAGTGGCTAGAGGCCACCGGCTGGTTTTTGCTTCCATCGGCACTATTTGTTGCCGGTTGGCACTGTTTGTTGCCGGTCGGCACTGTTTATTGCCGGTCGGCACTAAATTTTGTCAAAATGACATTTTTGGGCAGCCGACCACTGTTCATCTACTTTATGGAGATATTTTGTGCCAGCTGTGATAGCTGGCACCAACTCTGCCTCCTGTATGGAGGGATCTCCCTCTAACCAAGCTTGTTGTATAAGCTTTGCAAGAGGGACTCCTATAAGAGCAAGGCTCTCCTCTTTGATCTAGATTAGAGACTTGGAAGCAAAAACCAGAGCTTAGAGATATAGATACATCCTATCTCTATATCTCCCTCCCTCTCCTCCTTTGTGTGTGTTATTTGGCCCAAAAGTGTGATTTTACCTTACTTTTGCACCATTACACACACTATTACACCTTGCTCCGAGTTTGAGGGACTTGAGGGTTGATTCTTGAGTTTTTGGACTGATTTTGATCAAAAGAAGAGGGCTAGACCATTTGTTCTGCAAAGGTTCTTCAAGGGTGAGCATCTTGCTTTATTTTCCCCAAACTTGCAATAGTTATTTGCCTATCTTGTTGCTGATTTAGCTTTTGTGCATAACATGAAAAAGGCTTATATTTTCATGCTTTAGAACTTTCATTAAGGTTGTCTTGTAGTTTGAGTGCAAACTCACCTTGTTAGGCCTTATTTGGCCCCTTTTGTTGCCTCTTTGGTAGGGCTTTGTTTACTTCAGTGTTTTGATCTCTTCACCACTGAAAACCAGTGTATTTTTAGTGGTAAGGAAGATGGTTTGAAGTCTTGCATAGGGGAGGGACACCCCTCTCCCTTCATTGTCTTGTTTCCTTGCTTTTTGGCTTAAAAGGGTAGCATGTATGCTTGATCATTTTTGGCCTCATTTCAGAAGTTTTTTGGGTGTTTTAGGTCATGTGTGACCTCTGTTTTTGGCCGGATTTATGTCTCTTTGCATGCTTAAAGTACTTGCTTTGTATTGCTCCATTTGGCCTAGAAATGCCCCCTGTGCTTAGGCCATGATTCTTGCATATATTGGCATGGTTCCATGAAGGTTTTGGTATTATTTTATCATGTTTGAGGTCTGTTGGTCATCTATTTCAGCCATGTTCGCCTTGTTTGATGTCATCTTTTTGTGTTTTGGCTTGTAAGCTTTGAGTATGTTGACCTCTAGCATGCATAGTTTGGACCATCCTCATGTTTTGGCATCATTTAGGACCATATTTTAGTCCATAAATCATGCTCATATGTGTGCATTTGTGACCTCTTTTGTGCCTTAAAGGCGTGCCCTCTTATGCCTACACATGAACCTTAGTGCATACACCCCTTTGGAGCCATCTTAGCTGCCATATTAGGAGGGTTTGGAGCCCTATTTTGCCTGTAAAAATTCTGTTTCTTACTTGTCTAAATCATGCTATGATTGGTCATGTTATGGGACTGAGGTACCTCCTTTCTTGTGCCTTAGTTTTGAGACCATTGGCTTGCATGTTGGCATGAGAGTTTGTCCATCATTTTAGGCACTTTTGGCCACTGTTTTAAGATGGTTTGATGTCTGCCCCTTTGTGGTTTATGGTCACCCTTGCATGCTTATCTCATGTTTGTTGCATAATTGCTTCATTAAGTGTTGTAACATGTCGATCCCATTGCCTAAACGGCCCATGTTTGCACTACATTTGCATCTCGTATGCCTAACATTGCATGCTTGCCATACTAGTTGCACCACACTTGGCATGCCTTGCATCTTGGTATCATGTTGCATTTTGAGCCATGTTTGCATAACATGCATTGCATTATTTGGTTTGGGGTGTCAAGCCAAACGAGGGGATCAAGGGACATTCATACTTCAAGTGATGTAATGTGCCTTGATTCTCGGTCACCGAGGCCTTTGACTCCGACTTGATAAGGCTTTGGTTCTCATTTTGTTTGTTGCATGCATCTTTACATCAAGTGGCAAATTTGATCCCTTGGGCTATCATGCACCATTGATGGCTCGAGGATCGAGGGCCATGCTTCCTTGAGTTTAAAGCGTGATAGGAAGAATGACCATGCTTACATATGCCTGAAACCCCATGCCATATTGTCTGTCCTCTGTTTGCTGTCAAAATTGTCTTCTGCAGGAAGTTTTTGCCGACCGGCAGAATTCAGTGCCTACCGGCAATATTTTTACAGCCGATAGATCCAAAAACGGCCGGTGGGAATTGTGCATTGCCGGTGGTAATTTCCCCTAGCCGGTGGTACTCTGCGGCACGCAAGGAACCTGTTCCAGGACTTTGGGAATTTTCAGAGAAGCAGGGCAGTACAAACAGAGGTGGCAATGATGTGGTATGAGTTTTCCAGGCGAGCCGGGTTTCGAGCATGCATCATTCGCGCATCCCGAGGCAGAGGCTGTAGCCATCCCCTTCTTTCTTTTGCATTCTTTCTATTAATTAATTAGAAATTCTGTAATAATTTATTTGCTTATCATTTGGACTGTAATATTTATTTGGCCCCTCCGAGTGAGGGCAATGATGTAATAAGTGTGCGTGAGTGTGTGTATGTCTTCCAACCTCACGTCTTTCTTCCCTTTTATTTACCTGCTTATGATGGTAGGCTAGGGCATTTTTTAAATTAGCATACCTTATGCTACGCATGCGTGCATTCATGCATTTGTATTGCATGCATCAGGCTCGACACATCACGCTAACTGCATTTGTACTTTAATTCACAAATTGAATATGTGGTAGTTGATCGCATTTCACATGCCATGTTTAGGTTAG